CCCCCCAACCGAGAGACTATTTTTCAATTTCTTCGATATTATTAAAAAAAATTGTTGCGCCACTGCGGTCTTATTTCTAATTTTAATTAACCCTTTGAGCATTGCACAAATAATCTGAGATTCGCCCGTAGAAACATTGTACAAATAATCTAGAATGTTGAAAATAATTAAAATAACAGAGACTCGAAATAGAGATCTGATAATAATATTACAACATACTGAATGAACATGTTACGAGGCAATGAATTTAATGATGGATGCATTCTCATCAATTTTTCTCGCGTACTTTTCACTCGTTATTAAACTACCCAGACTTTCCTGCGGATAATTTTAACGAGCACTCAAAGGATTTTGTAACTTGTCTTGTCTATTTTTATTAAAAGACTGGAGCTATTTATAGGACATTATGAAAGTGTGTATAAATAGTTTGCGGCACCACAAATGCGACATAAAACATTCATTGTAAATATCTGCTGGGTGGATCGGTCACGTTGACGCAGCTTCCAACGACCGTCATGAAATGGGACAACTGTTATCTCGACTTGGAGAAGAAATGATTACACAAACTTTTGCACGAGGGCTGTCTTAATATTTCTATTGTTATACTTACCGTCGTGTTTTATCGTTCATTTTCGTGATGATTGGAAACGATAGTAGGAAGTGGGCAATAACATTCAGGAAAATAGATGATTTCTCGAGGGATCGATGGCACCAGAATGTTTAAGTGAAATTCTTACTATAGCATACTGAAATAATAAAAATTTGCCTTTATTACATCCAATCGTTGAAATTAATTTTGTGTTTTAAATATTATTATTATCGTTGTTGTTGACAGTAAATATACCAGTAAATTTACCCGGTTAAAACATTTGATTTAAAATTCTGTATTTATTGTTATTTCTTTCATTCAAAGAAAAAAAAAAAACATAATTTTTTTTTGCTTCTTATCGTTTAAAAGTTTATTTTGTGCATTATTCCCTATCGATTAAATCGACAATCAACTGTAAAAGGATCTTTATTTCACATAGGTACTATTTCGCGAACATTTCTAAAAATGTAGTTGTCGAAGATTAAAAAAAAAAAAAAAAAA